ACGGTCACACTGTATGAACACGTTCACACCACGCTCATAACCCGTTACAGAACGGTGATGAACGGGCAAAAACAAATCCACCGTCTGCAACGGCTTGTAAGCGGGTTGTGAACGTGTCATGAACGTGTTGATACCGTGCCACCGTCTTCATAACGTATTCATACCGTCCTCATTACAGTGTTCATACCGGACTGCCAACGGGTGTTTCCAAAGCGGTACCGCCTGATTCTGACGGCGCCGCCTCCCTAACGCATGGGTAACATCCTGTTAACGCCTCGACGTTCCCATAACGTCCTATAACGGGTCCATAACGTGTCCTTACCTTCACAGTAGCGTCATATGAACGTGCCATTACCAACAAATTTACTTTTGTCACCGTGTGCCACCGTTTGTCACTAATTATTGGGTATATATAGAGGGGTTTCGTCAGATGAGCTTTACTTTTTCTTGTCATGACTTCAGCAGTCCGGGGACTCGCTCACAGGACGCTCCGAGCGGTGAGGGGACGCTAAGTGACTGGTAGGTGGCTGCTACAAACCCGGTGCACACGTTCGAGACCCGGTATGGGCCTGGTATGGAAACGGCCAGAAGATGGCAACGAAACGGTGAAAAGATTAATTTTATGAATTTTTTTTTGCGGCCGGGGACACGGCAGAGTGTGAGAGCTCCATTAAGGCCCGGTCTCACCGCCAGAACTTTGCTGGAGCGTTCCTTGAACGGTAGGGAGAGGGGGCCGAATTTCGACAACGCTCGTCACCGCGCACAAAATGGGAAACAAATCGAAAACACGGGCGTTGCCTTAGCGGTGCACCGCTGAAGCCGGCGTTGCTTTAGCGTTGGTTTAACGGTAGCGAGCGGTAGCGAGCGGTAGCGAGCGTTGGTCCCGCTCCGACACCTCCATACCAACGCCAAACCAAAGTTCATCACCGCAATGGATCGCTGCTTCAACGCCCGACACCGTTCCAGCAATCCCGTGTCCGCTCGTAAAACGCTTACAACCGCTCCACCAAAGTTTGTGCAACATTTAATCACCGCCCGGGCAAAGCTGGCGAAGCAGCGGAGGTCCAGCGTTCAAGATTTCTGCGTTGGCCTAGCGGACCAAAGCGTCCACGAACTTGCGTCTAGCGGTGCCAAATTTTTACTGGGCGTTGTTGGAGCGGTGGTGAACTTTGCCGGAACGGAAAATTGCCCGCTCCTCACCGCTCGCAATATTTTGTGCAGCTCAAAACTTTCGGAGCGGTAGGAGGGACCATCAGCGGTGGCCGAGCGTATACGGCGTTGACTTAACGGGGGCCAACTTCTGTTAAACGGTGGTGAACGGTTACGAGCGGTGATGCATTTTTTTTCACCGCTCCAGGAACGCTCCAGCAAAATTCTGGCGGTGAGACCGGGAAGACACGATTGATACTTCCCACCTGTGCATTTTAGAATAATCACTGCCAAAGTGATGGAGGTGCTTCATGAATACCTTTTGTTTGCCTCTTGAGAAGAATACTTCCACCTGTGTATCAGATAAATGTACTGTTGGTGCATAAATGAATACTGATTACATAACTTTCATGAGCACGATCCGAGTATTCGTCTCAATGGTTTAACAATTTGGGTACGAATGACCTTTATATGCCCATGCGCAAATCTTAATTACGAACTAGCTTATTCGTTGTCACTGGCTGCCTGCCGTAGCAACAAACGGAATTGACAAAAGACTTAACTCCGTTTCGTCGGCGATCAGACATAGACGAAAGACTTTATGCATGGCTAATTGTCAATGAAACGGAGTTAAGTCTTTTGTCAATTCTGCTTGTTGCTACGGCAGGCAGCCCGTGAAAACGAACTTTTTAAATCAAATTGTGAAAATGCAAGGATCACTTTAAACAAACAGAACTTTGGTATTCCTTGCTCATTTTTCTTGATTGAGGTGTCATATGAAAGGGCAGAAACTGAACTTTCTAGAAATTTGATTTTTCTTCGAAATTCAGATACCGCCCGCCAAATGACTTTTTGATTTCCTTCCTTCAAATTGTTTTTAATAACGCATGCATGAAATATGCATCACATCAGTTGCATCATATAAAAAAGGAGGATCTAAGCTTTACAAATATGTGTGATTTTTAATTATAATTGTGATTAAGTTATGATATAACATCGATAATTCTCGGTTTCGCTTTTTCTGGATCGCACTGTATATTAATTTGATATACTTTCAAGAATATCTTCTACAAAATATGACCCATTTTGCATTGACAAAACATGAAGTAAATTGGTTATAAATATAAAACACTTTCGTCTCACGAGAAAAATAATATTCACACAACCCTGCTTTCGCCAAAAAAACGGGTACATTAATATTCACGTATTTGTCAATGTGCAGGTCTTGCAAACTGCCAGGATTGTAATTTTGACGATAATCGTACATTGATTCAACAATGCGGATGGTCCAACGACTTCGAAGACGACTTCGATTGGTCTGTCAGGCAAGTGCCGACCCCGACCCCGATCACGGGACCGTCAGGAGACCATACAACAGGCAGTAAGTAGCAATACGGTGTCTTGTTTACGCACTTGTTTCTTTGTGGATTCTTTGTTCGTTCGTTTTTTGTTATTGTTGTCTTTAATAATAATAATGCTAATAATAAAACTAATAATAACAATGCTTATAATAAGGGTTATAATAGGAATAATAATAATAATTTTAATAATAATAACAATTATAACAATGATTATAATAAGGATTATAATAGAAATAATAATAATAATAATAATAACAATAATAAGGATAATAACAAGAACGATAATCATAATAATACTAATGATAGCAATTGTATCATATTTACTCAGGAAAGCCCCATCACTACTCTTCCTGCAGGCTCTGCAATTAATATTACCTCAGTATTGCCATGTACCCATTTCATACTCCTAGGTCAAGAAGGAAAACATTAATGTAGGCAAGACCTTGTGCAAGGATGTTAGCATTGAGCAAGGATACCAAAATATCACGGCACTCTAACCAATTCAATTCAATTCAATTCAATTCAATTTTATTTCGTCCAATAATAACATGGAAATTCATTGTGGGATTTTACATATTGCGTTTACATTAAAATCATGTATAAAAAGACATCAAAAAGACATTGAAATAGGAAATAATTACATTCAAAATCGGTTAGAAATTGGAAAAAACATAACATGACATCGACACAATGCACAAATATACATAGTAAAAAGGCCCCAAGATTTTCAACATAGCTTTAATACACAATACCCAGATCCCTTGCACCCCCATACCCCAGAAACTCATCCTAGCCGGAGGGACATAGAGAGAGGGAGAGAGAGAGAGAGGGGGGGCATAGAGACAGTGAGAAATAACGAGAGACGAAGATAGAGAGAGAGGAAGAGGAAGATATAAGAGAGAAAATAAAAGAGAGAGAGAGACAAACAAAGAGAAAAGAAAGAGAGAGAGTAGAGAGAGAGAGAGAGAGAGAGAGAGAGAGAGAGAGGGGGTGGAAGGGAATGATCGAGATGGAATCCCAACCCACAGTACGGGCAAACCCGAATTCAGAGATAATTGCACATAGTTCATAATACATACACACACTGGCTTTACCTAAAAAGTGTTGATAGATGTGTGAGCTATTCCAAGTAAAAACAGTTACATTCAATAATTGTGCTCTATTTTCTTCGTACATACATCCTGCAGTGGGAACTCATCATTTTAATGATAATAAAACGAAGACACAGGAATATTGAAGACATGGATATTGCACATAGAGAGGACAGGTTTCCAGTCATTTATTAATGCATGTCAAGGAGATAAAAACGACCAGTTTCGCAACGTATCCAAACAGAATGCACAGGTCGTCGCGAGGCGGCCGAACGCGAGCGATTCCACCACCTGCCAAGAGCGACCGCACCCCGAATAGACAGAGCGCGAATTGCACACACCAGCCGCAACCAGGCTGGGCAAGCTTTAATGTTTGCCCAGCCTAGCAACAACAAAGGTGCGCAACCCACACCCCGCCCACCGAAACTTAATCACTCCTAACAGGCGAGCGGAACCACAGGCATCCAGGTACCCCACGCGGACCCATGCACCCAACTCGAACACAATACGAAACTGGTCCATCGAAAAGAGGCGTCTCCTTGCACATAATAACAAAAGTTACATGTTGGTGATGAATATATGAATATTATTACATGCAATTTGTTTGTTTACTCTTACGCTTACATGACTACGAACTTAACAACACAGCACATGTCAACGAGTGTGGAAAGTCAGAGTTTAATTACATTTAAAAGCCCAGCTCTTTAGACATTTAGGCCCGAATTCACAAAGCAAGGTTTGAGCTCAGACCAAGGTTTGAGCTCAAACCTCCTTTTGTTTCGCCAAACCTCCTTTTGTTATTTACAAACTGGTTGTAAATAACAAAAGGAGGTTTGGCGAAACAAGAGGAGGTTTGAGCTCAAACCTTGGTCTGAGCTCAAACCTTGCTTTGTGAATTCGGGCCAATAATTCTAAGGTCAACATTTCAGGTGAACTATATTGATTGACACCAATTTAAGTTAACGTGTGTTGTTAAAGGCTCTAATGGCAAATGGAATGAAATAATTCAAATAACGGTTTGTCGTGCATTTTGCAGACTGGAGTCGTTTGCCTCATCTCATCCAGCAGAAAAATGGATGAAGGGGGTGTTGGGGGTCCTTCATGATATTCTCAACTTTCTTAAGAACACGGATAGAGCATGTATCATCTAGACTGAAATTTTCACCAACTATTTTACCTGCTTGGTTCAACAACCATGTTGTTTTTTATGGTGATGATGATGATGATGATGATGTTCTTATTGTTGTATACTTGATGTTCCTGCAGCTATTGTTGTTGCTATTGATTCTGTTATTCTGTTATTGTTGTTGTTCTTGGTGTTGTTGTTGTCATCGTCGTAGTGTGTTTTGTTTTATTAGTCGCCATTTTTTGGGCCAAGGGTAAAAATGGAAGGATATTAATGTATTGTTTTTATGACTCCAATCTTCTTCGTCGCCATCATCATCGCTTTCCTCCCTTTCCTCTTCTAGGTGGCAACTTCCTCTACTCAGAGGCAAACGTGCAGTACTATGGAGAGAAAGCAAGGATCTACAGTCCCTTCGACTCCCCGGCCAACGAGGCTGGCACGGACATGACGATGATCTCATTCTGGTACAGCATGTGGGATGGCTTCGACGGGACAAACTGGGGAACACTAAACGTCTACATCGCCTACGGCGGCGAGAAAGTCCCGGTAAACCCTCCCTTCTGGTCGCGCTCGGGATCACAGACGGACGGGTCAGGATGGAAAGAGGCCAAGATCATGTTTACGGCCCCTAGTCCGTTTCGGGTAGGTCAGTTTTTGTTACGGATAACTGCAGAAAAAAAATTGTTCACATTGATATTTCCTTTTGAAGTTTCCTATTAATATCGCGCTCTCTCTCTCTCTCTCTCTATCACTCTCTCTCTCTCTCTCTCTCTCTCTCTCTCTCTTTCTCTCTCTCTCTCTCTCTCACTCTCTCTCTCTCTCTTTCTCTCTCTCTCTTTAAATTCCACCGATATTATACAGACAGAGATCATCCGCGATAATTGTTTTCTTTCTTAACCTAGACTGTTTAACGATGGCATGTTTTTGCATGCGTCCCAAGAAACTACCTTATATTTGTAATTAAATTATGATGTACATGGTGTGTAATGCTTTAGATACTAAATGTTTGGGTGAATAATGTACCAAGCTATTTATCAAGTTTAAGTCTATTCTTATCCTCTTCATTCTCGTAGTGCTCCTCCGTCCTCCCTCCTCGACCCCTTTTCCCACTCCTCCTCCTCCTCATCCCTCCTTCCCTCTTCCTTCTCCTCCTCGCTCCCCCTTCCCCTCTTTTTACTCCCCCTCCTCTGATTCTTCCCTTCTTTCTCCTTTTCCTCCGCAGTCTTCCTTCTCCTCCTAATCTTCCATCCTTAATTCTTTCCCGTCCTCCTATTTCCCTGCGTCTTCCCTCTCTTCTTCCATTTCATCTCCTCCCTCCTCTTTTGTGTCGTAGTCCTCCTCTTCCTTGTCCAGATAATTGTATGCTTGTCCCTTCATGTTCTTCGTTATTCTACTTTTATTTTCCCTCTTTTTTTCTTTCTTCTTTACAGATCATATTCGAAGGTGTCGTAGGTGAAGGAAACAGATCTGACATCGGTATTGATGACGTAATGGTCAGACAACCCAGTAGGTTATATTCCATTGTCCCAGAATGACGGATTCCTTGATTGAGACAATAACCAACAACAACAAAACTTTTAAAAATCTATTCATAAGATAAATACAGGGAGAACGTCGTTTATGATAGTAAACTTAAATTCTGTGTACATTCTTATCTTCTCTATCTATTTTAAAGATGATAATATTATTTATAGAAGATACACGAGTACAATTCGAATATATCGCCTTATGATAAGCACCTTCCTTCATTTTCTCTAATTTCCCCCTTAGCCTTTCTTTGAATGTATGCACAGAATATTTTGTTTCCTATTTCCTTAACAATGATAATTCATCTCCTTCAAAATGCGTACATAATTTCTATAGCTACAAAATGTTTGGAAAAGAAAAAATGAGTACCAGGATGACTCTTTACCGAGTAACATCCTTGATAACTACCGCAGGGCAAACACAATACAACCACACCCGGACAAACTACACCCCCCCCCCCACCCAAGTCCACATAATTTACCCCTTTCCCAATCCAGACACTTGGGACTTAGTGGTGTCAATTTTAGTTTTTTTTTCAAACAGTATAAATTTTCAATTTTGTCCTAGAATCATTGCAAAAAAAATGCCTTGAACTTTCTGTTATTGTTAAGGACCGGGGGGAAATGCAATGAATTATTGAAAAGATATCGCATTTTCTTTGTTAATTCCTATTTGTGGGGGCTGCCCCCTACCGTAGCCCCCGCTGCGTACAGTCATGATTCAGTGGCAAAGCAATGGCCTCTGAGGCTCCAGGATCAAAACCGTGTCGGTCAGCTATATTAATGCCCTTTTGTGAGGGATTAATCCTCATTTCTGTCAGTTATGACTTGAGGACGTATGTCCCCTAGCTTTGAATCATAGTAGCATACACATGATTTAGCAGTCACGCAAAACAAACACTCGCCAATTATCATTCAATAAAATCTGAGAATGTATACTATTATCTAGATCTATTAGGAATAAATCATTGCCAAAATCATTCCATGAATTGGGGTATAAAAATATTATTCCACCTTTATGACCGACAGTGTAATTTAGAACTTCACTCAAAACGAAAGGTCTTTACAAATATATTTTTGTGGGAAAATATAGCAACCGCTAATTGTCGAATCGACTTTAGTGATTGCAATTCATTTAGTAAATAGTCTGATTTTCAGACCCTTGTAGCGAATGGTTGTACGTTTTGTGTTGCGCAAACATTCAATCAGTTTGATTTTGGCCATTACAAGTAGTGTGTTATTGATGTAGAGAAAATACTCATGCACCCTTTACAGCTCATGTTATGAATGTTTTTACCAAAGAAAAAAAAGAAATCAATCAGTCCCTCAATAGTGTTTGACAATGAAGTCTAGAAAGTAATCGGGTTTCCTTGCATAATTTGAATACTAGGACACTGCTAACGTTTAAACCATAGATAGGACATATGTGACACATTCAATAATTCCTGCAAGTTCTACAGAATTTGATGTTAATAATAATAATAATAATAATAATAATACTCAGTTTTTATATAGCGCTTATTAGAATCACTAAGCACTTGTTGCCTACGCATGGGACATAATACCTTTAAAGGCTCATAGGAGTGGGTCGTCATGGGAAATTCAACACTATTTGGGTGTGTAGCCAATAAAAGGTGTTGTCAATCACTGGCAAAATTTTGCTTAACCCCGTACTATAGGTGGGGTTAAAGGGGGGGGGGTAGCCCTACCTATATTCCGGGGTTAAGCTTATTCCACCTTCTTTTCACACTGGCCAAAATTTGCTTAACCCCGGACTATAGGTGGGGTTAGAGGGGGATCTTAGCCCCACTTATAGTCCGGGGTTAAGCTTATTCCACTTTCTGTTCAGACACGTATTTACCAAAGTGGGCTAGCCCCACCTATAGTACGGGGTTAGCTGGCCCTGCAAAATAGCAGGGCTAACCCCGCATTTGTGGTGCTAACTCCGCAATTGCGGTGCCAAGCAAATGAATGAGAACAGAAATGAAAACTAGTCCGGGACTACGCAGTGGGGCGAATTAATGAATGTTTACGCTATGGCTAGTACGGGGCTAACGAATTGCATGCACTGAGAAAAGCTAAAAAAAAGATAGTCCGGTGTTAAGGATAGTACGGGGCTAAGCAAAGTACGGGGTGAATTAGCAAAACAAGTGTGAAAAGAGTATTAACTTCTTCGACCAAAAGATCTTGACAATACAATGTGCCCTGAACATACCCCTTCAGGAAATCTCATCATAATAAAATTGTCCTCACGGTCGAGATATAAATACAAGGTGGAGTAATTTGTGATGGCACAACGGGTTTGCTGCATCATGTACCTTCGTAGTAGGTCCATGGCTGCATGATAGACCTGTGCAAATAGAATCAAATCATGTGTCAGCGAATTATGATGCACCAATGTCCTTTGGCAAGACATTGATCTACATTTGCCACACTCAACCCAGGTGATGTAAATGGGTACCTGGCAGGAATCAATTCCTTGAAATGCTAGAGCGCCGCAGTTGCTGCCTTGCTAAAGCCAGGGTAATAATCAGGGCAGCGCCAGGAGCGTCACAACGTGACGGACATGTGCGCTATATAAGAAGCCACCATTATTATTATTATTGATAATACACATGGACACTGGATACTATGTGTATGGCTTTAACAATTCATTCCCAGAAATCCCCAACGTCTGTGACTTTGAGAGCAGTGAGATGGGTGATCTGTGTTACTTTTACCAAGAGGACCTCAGAGACGACTTCGACTGGACGAGACATTCTGGTGAAACGCCCACTAATGACACTGGACCACTTACTGATCACACCCTCATGAACGATACAGGTTAGCGCAAATATAGGAATACACCCGATTCTGGAAGACAGTGAATTTCCTTCTTAAAGGCCCGGTCACACAGAGGGGACGCATGGGGGACGCACGGCCAGCGCATTGGAAATTTGCAATTTGGGCCAGTGCGTTGTCGTTCGCTAGGCGTGCGTCATCATTCGTTACTCGTTCGTCGAGCGCGCTGGACCAACGCTGGACCAGCGCTATGCATTCGTCGTCATTCGCTGTGTGCGTCGTTTTTTTTTTAGCATGCTCAAAAGTGTGCGCGGAGCTCGACGCATGAATGTACACGCCAAAGACACGCCAGACATGCGTGGAGCGCGCTAGACCAGCGCCAGACATACGCGGAGCACACGCCCTGTATACGCACAGCGCGCTAGCTACACGCTGTGCATTTTTTGTCAGCTCGCTAGCTTTTCCAAAATCATAACAAAAGTTAGGCACACGGCCTTTTCCGATTTCCAATGCGCTAGCCGTGCGTCGTAGAACGCGGTGCAAGCGTGGACCATTCGTCCAGCGCGCTAGCAACACGCTGTGCATTCGTGGAAGTTGATATCATGTGCGCTCTGTGTACGGTCTGTATGCGCACTGTATGCGCCCTGTATGCGCTCAGCGCGCTAGCAACACGCTATGCATTTGGTGTCAGCTCGCTGTAGCTTCGACAAAAGTTGGGCGCACGACAACGCACTGGCCAAAATTGCAAATTTCCCATGCGCTGGCCGTGCGTTCCCCATGCGTCCTCTCTGTGTGACCGGGCCTTTAGACGGACAAGTTTCGCAAGAGTAAACACGCTTGTTTTTTGAAGAAAAAAAGTCTACAGCAGTATATTGTGTGATTTGAAGAATGTACATGTTTCAAAATTTTCCTTCATCATGTTTAAAGATATTCTAAAAAAAAGTCTTATTAAAAACAGATACTTCTCTATACTATTTTAATACCTAAGACACGTGGGTAGACTCTACTAGTGTTTCTTTTGAACGAAAATTACAGTTATCACAGATTCAGTTTACGAATCTGTAGGTGTTATATTAAAAAGAGAGCTTTCGTATTTATAATATGATTATTTATGGTTTGTTTTACAAGTCATATCTGTGAAGTCTCTGAAGGTGTTTTTAGTCACTATTTATATTATGATAGTCATTAGTGGTGCTACTACAATAGTCATGATCATGATATAGCTGATTATACAGATATTTGAATAAAATATTATAACAATTATTTGTAATAACTGTGTCTCCTTATTAGGGCACTATATGTATATCGAAACGACGGGCCAACAATTACGAGATGATGCTATCTTGAAATCTGTCGAATTCTTCAAGGAAAGAACACCTTGTAACGTCGACTTCTACTACCACGCTTTTGGGGACCATGTTGGTAACCTCCGATTAATTTTTGCTTCTGATGAACTTACACATGATATCGGGATTGTAAATCCTAGCGGGATCCACGTCAACGAGTGGATCCACTACAGTCGCATGTTCGATTACTTTGGATATTACACCGTGAGTACTTCACCTGTTGTTTGTCTGTTTATTTATTTATAATGCTGTATCTAGGTATGATGGCGCCCGGAGCAAACAATGAAATCGTGAACGTAAATGAACCAGAGAGTAAACAACGCGAACGAGTAATAGATTTTCTCCTAAATTTCGATTTCATTATGTTTTTATTTCAAAAGGGGACCCCCCCCCTCCCCCTTACAATAACGGAAGCAATTCCATGTACATTTCAATATACCCGAAAGAAGCATTTCGTCTTTAGGAGGGGCGGGGAGTGGAGCTGAGACCTCTTAGCAGAATATGAACGTTGCCCTTTTACACACAGGAGCACTCATTTCGGGGAGATTTGTTGTACACAACCTCTACGACCTCTCTCTCTCTCTCTCTCCCTCTCGTTATGTATGTTATGTTGGACAAAGAGAGTATATGCAAATCAACAGAATCAAGTTTGCAGTCGATGGGGCACAAACCAGTAATTTAAAGGGATAAATGAGTTTTGTCGAAGAGGGCGCTACCCAAAAAAATATTTGTGTGCCATGATGAAAAACTGAGTGTCAAATTTTAAAAAAAAACATACAATTAAATGACAAAACCATCTTTGTTTAAACAAAATCGGTTCATAAATGGGCTGAAATATCCAAAAATATAACCATTTCTTATATTGGTGGGGCACCACAAATA